TAAAAGCTACCATTGCCATCTCCATTATTCATTGAAATTTATCATTTGTACGTAGGACGTATAATTATGCTGGCACGATTTTAATTATCTATTTTGAGATTGCGTTCATTATTACTACTTTCTGGCTTTTTTTTCGCTCCCTGACAGGTATTGCATTCATTTGCAATTCCTAGCCAATTTTTTGGCAGGGCAAGAATGTGCTCGACTATTCATATTTCCGTGGCTGGAGACACTGCGGTATCCTTGATGTCCTTGGGGTTATATCCATGTTACTTGGTAGTTAACACTCATCGTATGAAACTTCTCCGGTGTTTATGTCGCCTTTGCGGCTTTTGAGATGAATGCGTGTGAGCGTACCATCGTCCATGCCCAAGCTGTTTTAGAGAAGCTCTCATTGAATGGTATGTAGGACCCTCCTATACTGCATTTTTCTTCCCAGATTTTCCATTTCGTGTTCTTGCTTATGAATCATGTGCATGTTTTAGAGCGAAAGTTAAAGGTATGCAGCGATCCTTGGGTTGGCTCTGTTAGCATTCGTTTCAAGCTCTTTCATGTTTACAATTCTCTATGTTTTGTGATAACAACTAGTTCCTGCAATGAAAATTAACATCCTGTTACGTATCTAGCGTCTCTGTGTTCATGTTGCGTTGTGAACTTGGAGAATCTTCACATTTCTTCCGTTTTTTTTTTTTTTTATTTCAAACCGTATTTTACGTTCTTCAGCATCTGATTTTTCGTACAGGGTGCACGCGGCGTTCACCCCTCATTCCCGCTCTGTTTAGCTCAACATCGTCAAAATGTTCAACACAGGGTAGGTGAGATTCTCAACTACTCGATTCAGCTCAGTTTTGTTTTTGTTAATAAGATGTACGAGACGAGATGTAGTGTAATGAATTTGCAGCGTGAGCAACGTCAGCGTCCATGTTCCTTAATGGCAGCTTATAAGACGTTGTTGGAGTTGGCTTTTACCGGGGTTACGTGGCTAGAAGGGGTATGGTCGCAAAATCGCACGATATGTACAAATCTATTCGACACTTAAAGTACGAAACGCAAAGGATAGGGTCCCATGAGTTTTGCAGTTATGTCGAAAACCTATAAATCTATTATATTTATCATTGACAGTAGGCTAAAGCGAGCTAGAGTAACACAAAGTTCACCAATATAGTCTATAATCTCAAAGTGAGTGTTCTACCTGTACCTGCTTCAAGTTACGTAAAATGTGGCGCGTATCAACTGCTCCTTCTCAATAACTGGTGCTATGGCACCCTTTTTGAGTGCTGTCTTCATAGAGTTTGAGCCTGCGACATAATTTGTTCTTGAGATAATAATTTTTTCTGGGGGGAAGCGCCTACCATGAGTATCACATGACCTCTGAAGGACCAATGTGGCCCATCCATTTCTTGGGTGGGAGCAACATTGCGCCGTCAAACATCATCGCGAACAGCCCGTGAGTCGTTGAATTCTATCGTGGCGTTCCATGCAACTAGACTCCGTATAATGTAACCAAAAAAAACGTCAGAATTTCAATGGCGGCACGGCCGCTGGCTTATTTCTCTTCAATCCGTGTTGATATTTGTCACAGTTGGCGCCGGCCGCACGCATGCGCGCGCAACACAGATCTGTGGCGAATTTTGATGGTGCGACGAAAAATTTCAAATTTGGCTTGATACAATACGAATATCTGAATTCTCCGCTAAATTCTATGCGCTCTTTCTTCGTCAACCATTATCCTATTTTTCTCGGTCCTCGGCCCGGACAATAAATCTCGTGGCGAACTCCGTCTACTTCGGTGCGTGCCCTGCCGACCAATAGCATTTGGCTCCCTTCTTTTCGCCGACCTCTACCCCCTTTTTCACCGGTCTCTGGGACCTCTTGGAACCAAATTACGACACTTTTGGCAAACTCCGCCCACTTAGGTGCGTGCTCTACCCAGTGATAGCAGTTGAGCTCTTTTCCCTCACCAACCTCTAACCCCGTTTTCCCCTATCTCTAGGACCTCTTGCAACCGAATTGCGATACTTTTGGCAAACTCCGCCCACTTGGGTGCGTGCTCTACCCACTAATAGCATTTGACCTCCTTTCCTTCGCCGACCTCTACTCCCTTTTTCCCAGCCTCCTGGACTTCTTGGGGCCGAGTTATGAATTTTCGTCGCAAACTCCGCCCACTTTGGTCATGTCCCTCCCACCATTGACAGCTGGCCTCCACTCCTCCACCCACCTCCATCCACCTTTTCCGCGGCCTCAGGGACTTCTTGGAGCCAAGTCATGAATTTTCGTCGCAAACTCCGCCCACTTTGGTCAGGCCCCGCCCACCAATGACAATTAACCTCCACTCCTCCACCCACCTCTATCCACCTTTTCCCCAGCCTCCGGAGCTTCATGGAGCCGAGTTATAAATTTTCGTCGCAAACTCCGCCCACTTTGGTCAGGCCCCGCCCACCATTGACAGCTGGCCTCCACTCCTCCACCCACCTCTATCCACCTTTTCCCCAGCCTCCGGAGCTTCATGGAGCCGAGTTATAAATTTTCGTCGCAAACTCCGCCCACTTTGGTCAGGCCCCGCCCACCAATGACAATTAACCTCCACTCCTCCACCCACCTCTATCCACCTTTTTCCCCAGCCTCCGGAGCTTCTGGAACCGAGTTATAAATTTTCGTCGCAAACTCCGCCCACTTTGGCCAAGCCCCGCCTACCACTGGCCTTTGACCTCCACTTTCCCACCCAACTATATCTTCTTTTTTCCCCACTCTCCGGGACCTTCTGGAACAGAGTTCTGAATTTTCGTCGCAAACTCCGCCCACTTTGGTCAGGCCCCGCCCACCAATGACAATTAACCTCCACTCCTCCACCCACCTCTATCCACCTTTTCCCCAGCCTCCGGAGCTTCATGGAGCCGAGTTATAAATTTTCGTCGCAAACTCCGCCCACTTTGGTCAAGCCCCGCCCACCATTGACAGCTGGCCTCCACTCCTCCATACACCTCTATCCACCTTTTTCCGGCTCTTTAGGACTTCCCCGACCCGAATTATGAGGGCTTGTAGAAAATGCTGTACACTTCAGAGCGCGCCCCGCCCATTCTGGGCAGGCCTCCGCCCACGTCATGTATGCGGGAAACACCTTAGACATTGCTCCCTTACACCGAATTGTTTTCTGCTCTGTAGGCTTTCTCCCAACCGAGTTATGAAATTTTTCATAAAGCACTGCTTTTTTAGAGAACGCCCCGCCCACCGGGGGTGGGTCTCCCTAATTCGATGTTACTTACCAATGCACACCTTAGCCCACTTTTTGGCCCAGTTTCGAGGTCGTTTTTTCACTGAAATCGAAATCTTGGTCTTTGGTACAATTCATTTCGACGCACGCCACGCCCTCTGTGGGCGGGGCTCCGCTTAGCTGATGTGTGTTTTGTATTACGTGAGACCCTGCCCACCCATCCCACACTTGACCCGGTCCCTCCAGGCGGATCCCGAGGAGCTAGGGAATTTCGTGACAGACATACAGAACGACAGACAGAGGGACAGAACGACAGAGGGACAGAACGACAGAGGGACAGAACGACAGACGAAGCGCTTTATAGTATGTAAGATGGTTGTCACGCAGGCTGCGGAGTAATTCTGGATGGCAGACGGCTCAGAGCGACCCGGAGGAGCAAGGCAGGGGCCCGAGCCGACCGGCTGTGAGCGCAAATTGAGAGCTGCCTTACGGAGAGCTATGAGAAATGGACAAGTTAGCAGGTACGGAAGTGCGTTATACGAGGACCTAAAGTGTCCTCTGGCATTGATGATTTGCAAGTGCAAAATTCTGATCTCCTCATCTGCCCGAATATCTCTCTAGTATTCACAGTTGTTTTCGTTCCCTACTTACTTCTATCGTTGCCCCGCTGAATGGGCGCACACGAGCGGAAAATGGTTATGCCACGTGTTTTCCTGAGAACACATCAGCAGCCGTGACCTAACGACACACGTCATATGCATATGCATCGCTTCCAGCCTGTTTAATGTCCTTTGCTCGACCTAACGCTTAATCTTATAACAGCACGGACGCTAAACCCGCACTGAACATAGTTATGTTGGATACTTTTTTTTCACTCGGATTAGAAGCAGTCTAATGCCAGTATCGCGGATTGCGATACCTTGGGTTCAAGTGTTGGTAAAGGTCGCAAGTGCAAACTCTGAACTCTTTTTTGTAAGCAGTGAATCTATGGGTAGCGCGCATGTCCTTGTGCTCAGGACTGAAGGTAGAACTTTAGTTCCAGAATACAACTTCGGGTTACCAGCAATATAGAAAGCAAGAAAGATCGACTCGTTGAAGTTGGTTCGAGAAGAAAACTAAAACGGAATGAAGATCACTGATTCTCACGTTCGCTGATGTTTTGATGGGTGGTATTTTGACAAAAGATCAAGTAGCAATACAGCCATTTTGGATTTCATTCGTGGAGGGATCACTTATTCGCGTTTTTTTCATGAGCCAAGCCCCGTCTATACAGTTTTAGGTATAGTTAACAATCATTCTCGAGCCGTTTCTTGACCAAGAAGGCAGTGCGAGGTATTTACTCACTCGAGCATGTTTTTTCAAACTTCTCGCCGTTTTCTTTATGCTAAACAGATAGACTTAAGTGTAGCGTTTTGTGTGATTAGCACCGCCCTCGGTTTCTTATAGCGACAGCAGAGTTTAAACCCGACTTGTGTTAATCAATTCGTGCCTGGTTGGCCATCAGTTGATATTCGCCGTGACTAATTTGCTTCGTGAATCGACATGAAGCGAGCAAGCTCCGTACAGACATGGTAAGGACGCCGAAGTTCGCCTTAATTGAATATCATTTTATAATCCTGCTGATCTTCACTCCCATTTTACGGAGAGGATTGTCTGCATAAATTTCTCTCAAAATCGAGGGTGTATGTGTTGACATCCAAAAAAAGCCGCTATATTTTACATGTTCTTGTTCTCAGTTTTCTAACTTATCTTTTCCAATCCATTGTGTTCTTGAGTTTTTCAATATAGGAAGTTCTTCGGACGAACAGTTGTCATCACTGGTGCTTCTCGTGGAATTGGAAAAGAGATAGCGTTGAAATTAGCAAAGGTACGTGCTGCAGCAATCACGTTCTCGGGAATATAATCTTGCTTCACCCCTCTCAAATCTGACACAACCTCTGCTCGTTTGAATTGTGAACTTTGAGGATGATGAACAAACAAAACAGACAGCTTCTGGTTGTCTGTAGTAAGGATTAGACTTATGTGCTCTGAGCATCTGCTACAGTACATCATTCCGTAAAAGTTAACCTTGTGTCTCTGGGTGGTAGCACAAAAGGTAATCTGAATAATAGTAGTTCAATTCTGCACGCTATGGCGCCACACCATGGTCCCATAGCGATGTGAAACACGGCAGCCGGCTTTCTCGCAAATTCAGCTTCGTCCACCATTAGCACATGACCTATCCTCCTCCGCTATTCCTACTCGCTGCGCCTTTCCATTTCTCATTTCCATTTTTCATTTCATCACGTCAGCCTTCCACTTTTTATAGCCTTTATACATCTTCCAGGTCTCGCAAACCAGTCATAGGTCTCGCGAGAAACTCGCCCACTCGGTGCACTTCTCGTCCCTAAATAGCATATGGCACTCGGGAGGGAAGCTTCCGGACAGGAACGTCAGGGAGATCCACTGCTCACATCATCTTCAGAATCCCTTTCTCTTTCTAAGGCCCAGTGCCACCGTACTGCAACTAGGATTGCTCACTTGAATGTCCCCTCCCCCTCTCTCTCCCTCCCCCCACTCCCCTCCAACGTCATTAACGCCTAGACTATGACCTCTATCCTCCGTCATCACTTTCTTTCCCGCCTTCGAGCCTTTTCGGAAACGTTTGATGTGTATCACCTTACCATAGACGTTGAACATCTCCCTTAGTTTTCCTGCTTCCCATGCTGTCTTGTAACTGAGTTATGATTTCTTTATCAGTAAGATGTCGGTCAGACTCGGCGATTGCAACGCGATGGACAAGCGATGGAGCGATCGCGTCGCTCCGTCGCTGGTCCATCGCGTTGCAATCGCCGAGTCTGACCGACATCTAAGGCACACCGATTTGGGAAGCTCTTCCCAAAAATCTCACACCTTTACTCATCTTATCGGTGTCTGTGCTTCTTTGACCTGAATAACAGATGCTTGCGTTCACAACACCTATTTCGGCGCGTGCCCGGCCCACCGCGAGTATGGCTTTGCATAGCTGATATGCGTTTTGATCTTGAGGCGAACATCCAAACTTGAGCCTGTCACTCCAGGCTTAACCTATGAACAATTGTCCATTTTGAACGGTTAAGCGAAAGTTGTACAAAGAGACAGGCATGACTTAATATAAAATATAAGACATAATTTAGGATGGAGCTAACGTTGTCATAGCTGCCAAGACTGCGACTGCTCATCCGAAGCTTCCAGGAACTATCTATTCAGCCGCTGAAGAGGTTGAAAAGGTAGGGGCATATTGGTGTTTTTCTACTGCTGACTTCCCTCTAATGTAAATGTACGCCATGCTAGACATATTACACATTGCGAAGCAGTTCATGTTGAGTTTTCCTTTCTGTTTCTGATTCTTTACCTGTATCCAGGCTGGAGGAAAGGCGTTACCATGTGTCGTTGACGTGCGAGATGAAGCATCAGTGCGTACTGCCGTGGAATCGGCTGTGAAGAAATTTGGCGGTATAGATATACTGATTAACAATGCATCAGCCATTAGCCTCACCAACACCGAAGACACAGAGATGAAGCGATACGATCTTATGCATTCGATAAACACCAGAGGGACATTCCTAATGTGAGTTTAGCCATATTTACAGAATAAGGTTTCTCATCATCTGTGGTAATTACAGGTCCAAGACTTGCCTACCCTATCTGAAACAAAGCAAAAATGCGCACATTTTGAATATTTCTCCACCCTTGCTAATGGAACCTAGATGGTTCTCCAACCATGTGGCGTACACAATGGCAAAGTATGGTAATGTCAATGTGCGTGCTTGGAATGCATGAAGAGTTCAGATCGTACGGAGTAGCTGTCAACGCCCTGTGGCCATTGACAG